GGAATTTAATCAGCATTTTGAACCGGGTTAGCTTTTTATTTTGTACTTAAAATTCTGGTACTGACACTTCACAGGCTGAGCATAAAATGAAGTTTTGTGTGCACAATTCCAGTGGACTGTAAGCTGTTGGTATATTCAGTGATGCAGTTCTGAACTTGTAATGTATATGGCATGATGTATTTTTATCTTACAGAATAAATCAATTGTATATATTTTTCTCTTGATAAATAGCTGTATGAAATTTGTTTCTTGAATATTTTTCTTCTCTTGTACAATATTCTGACATCCTACCAGTATTTGTCCTACCGGTTTTTGTTTTGTTTTTGGTTCTGTATAATAGTATCTAATGTTGGAAAAATTGAATTTTTTGAAGTATACAGAGTGTTATGGGTTTTGGAATTTGTGGACACAGATTTAGAAGATCACCATTTACAAATAAAATATTTTACATCTCTAAAAACCACCTGAGTCTCTGTTAACCCCTCTCCTGTTCTGGCTTGAGCTCTGAAATTGATGCTTGCTTGAAATTCACCGATGGTCTGATCCACATGTCAGAATTACCGCCATGTTGACATAATCAACTCAGTTCTCAAAGTTTAGACACAAGTTCTTAACTCATTGCAAATAGAGACTGTCTTCCTTGCAGTTGAATAAAGGGAACTTCAGTTTCGCTTTAGTTTATCTAGGCCTAATTAAAAATATTCATGGTGCCTTACTCCCTGGTATGAAGTCCTTTTTTTCCTAAGATTTTTAATTGACTTAGAAGGGAGAGCGAGAAACATCGATGTGAGAAACATGGATCAGCTGCCTCCTGCATGTCCCACACTGGGGACTGAGCCTGCAACTCGAGCATGTGCCCTGACTAGGAATCAAACCGCAACCTTGAGATCTGCAGGCCAACACTCCAACCACTGAGCCAAACTGGCCAGAGCTAGTCTATTTTTGTTTAACTGTTCAAGTGCTCTCCTAGATTTATTCTATGTGGTAGATGCTTTATTTCTATAATACTGAATGTATTTAACACTTAAGGAGGTTACTAAGAATTAAAATTGCTCAGAATCCCCCCAAAGGATTTTTTTTTTTACTTAGTAGAGAGGTTTATCACAATTTGTGAAGAAACCTGAAGCCTTTTATGTATTTTTTCTACCTCAAGTAAAATTCTATGTGCAATGTGAAATGTTTTAAATTTTTTTTTACATTTTCAAATAGTTGATATATGCAATATTAGTTTCACATGCATAGCATAGTGATCATATATTACAATGATCATCCTGATATGTCTAGTTCCAGTCAGACCATTCATAGTTATTGCAACATTAATGACTATTTTTGCTATGCTGTAATTTGTATTCCCGTGACTGTTTTTATAGCTGGCAATGTGTACTTCTTAATCCACCTTTTCATCCACCCTCCAAACCCCCTGCCATCTGGCAACCATCAGTTTGTGCTTTGTGTCTATGAGTTTGTTTTTGTTCGCTTACTTTGTTTTTTAGATTCCATGTATAAGTGACATCATATGGAATTTGCCTTTCTGTGTTTGACTTATCTCATTTAGCATATTACCTTCTAGGTCCATCCAGGTTGTCAAAAATGCTGAGATTTAAATCCTTTTTATGGCCAAGTAATTTTCCATTGTACATATGTACCACATCTTTTTTATCCAATTGTCTATTGATAGACACTTGTGCTGTTTCCATATCTTGGCTATTGTAAATATCAACGCAATGAACAAAGGGATGCATGTATTTTTTTGAATTAGTGTTTTGGATTTCTTCAGATAAATACCCAGAAGTCAAACTGCTGGGTCACAGAGCAGTTCTCTATTTTGAGAAACCTCCACACCGTTCTCCAGCGGCTGCACCAGTTTGCAAAGCCACCAGCAGTGCACGAGGATCCCTTTTCTCCACTTCCTCACAAGTACTTGCTGTTTGTTGATTTATTGATGACATTCTGACAGGTCTGGGGTGATATCTCAGTGTGGTTTTGCGTTTCCCTGATGATTAGTGATACTGAGCATCTTTTCATTTCTGTTGTCCATCTGTTTGCCCTCTTGGGAGAAATGTCTTTTCAATTCCTTTGTCCATTTAAAAATATTTATTTTATTTTATTGATTTCAAAGAGGAAGGAAGAGAGAGAAATATCAATGATGAGGATCACTGATCCCCACTGGGGATCAAGCCTACAACTCAGGCATGTGCCCCAACCTGGAATCGAATCGTGACTGCCCGGTTCAGAGGTAGATGTTCAACCACTGAACCACACTGGCTGGGTTGCCTTTTTTCTTCATTAAGGTATTACATGTGTTCTTATTCCCCTAATGCCCCCCGACCCCACCCCCTGCTCATGCCCTCACTCCCCTGTGTCCATTGTTTATGCTCATATGCATGCATACAAGTCCTTTGGTTGATCTCTCCCCCTTACTCCCACCCTCCCCTGCCTTCCCTCTGAGGTTTAACAGTCTGATCAATGCTTCTCTGTCTCTGGATCTGTTTTGTTCATCAGTTTATGTTGTTTATTATATTCCACAAATGAGTGATATCGTGTGATATTTATCTTTCTCTGACTGGCTTATTTCACTTAGCATAATGCTCTCCAGGTCCATCCATGCTGTTGCAAATGGTAGAAGAGCCTTCCTTCTTACAGCAGTGTAGTATTCCATTGTGTACCACAGTTTTTTAATCCACTCATCTGCTGATGGGCACTTAGGCTGTTTCCAAATCTTAGCTATTGTAAATTGTGCTGCTATGAACATAGGAGTGCATATATCCTTTCTGATTGGTGTTTCTAGTTTCTTGGGATATATTGGTTTTTTGAGTTGCGTGAGTTGGTAATCGTTTTATTCTAAAAACTTTTTGGTGGAATCTTTAGGGTTCTCTACAGTATGTCATCTGCAGATATTGACAGTTTTACTTCCTCCTCTCCAATTTGGATGCTCTTTATTTCTTTTTCTTGTCTGATTGCTGTGGCTACGATTTTCAATACCATCTATCCTATATAATAAAAGGCTAATATGCAAATTGCCCTCTTGGGAGTTCGACCCCTTGCTATGATGTGTGCTGACCAACAGGGGGCAGCACGGACCAAAGGAAGGCCCCTATCAACCCTGATTGCCAGCCAGGCCTACCCTGCATGAATTTCGTGCACTGGGCCTCTATTATATTTAAAAGCCTAAGTGACTATTAAGACCAGGCAACTGGCTGGTAGCTATGACATGCACTGACCACCAGGGAGCAGCTCACTCCCACAGCCAACTTCCCGCAGTCCCTTCCCCGAGTCGGCCTGCCCCAATAGGCCCCGATCGCCGGCCAGGCTGAGGGACCACACCTGTGCACGAAGTCGTGCACCGGGCCTCTACTGTTAAATAAAAGTGGTGAAAGTGGACAACCTTGTCTTGTTCCTAAGAAAAGGAATTCAGCTTTTCACTATTGGGTGTGTTAGCTATGGGTTTGTCATATGGCCTTCATTATGTTGAGGCATGTTTCCACTATTGCCAATTTGTTGAGAGTTTTTATCATTAACGAATGCTAGATTTTGTCAAATGCTTTTTCTGTGTTGATGAGTATATGATTTTTATGCTTCATTCTGTTTATGTGGTGAATCACATTAATTGATTGGCAGAAACTGAACTAATCTTGCATCCTAGGAATAAACCCCACATGATCTGCAATTGGTTGCTGCCGGTACTGGGCTTGGACTGCTTAACAAGAGGTCTAGGTCACTGAGGCCAGCTGCTACCTGTTAGAGTTTGTGATCTCTGAGACTTTAGGAAAGCAGGCAGAGGCTGCCACTTGTGTGGAAAAGGTTCTGGCTGAGTGGTGAGTTGGGTGGGGCAGGGTATCGAGTGGTGTTAGCCAGGTTGATGGAGACCTGTGCCCAGCCGGTGGAATGGGAGGGAAGCTCCACAAGGGATCAATGGCACTGGCCAGCACTTTCGTTTCTGAGAGAGCTGCCCTGATTGCTGCCCCTCCAGCCCTTGCCCTTGCCCTTAAGTTAGTCAACTTATTTCCTCCCCACATGTCCCTGACACTTGGAGCTGCTGCCCAAAGTGAAGAGCGAGTGAGTCTGTGCATGGCCCCCTTAAGACCTGCAGCACCTACGTCTCTAGCCACCCACTGTCTTTCTGGGACAGTCTTTGCTGCTTTTCACAGCCAGATGTTATTGGGGCCTTCCTTCCCAGCACTGGAATGCTGGGCTGGGACCCATCACTCCGCAGCTGAGATATCCCTCCTGATTTTTAACCACCACACATGGGTGTGGGGTCTGCCTGTTCTACATCTTAGCCCCTCTACCATTGTTGATGTGGCTTCTTTATATCCTTAGTTATCGGACTTCTGTTCAGCTAGTCTTCAGGTGGTTTTCAATAATGGTTGTTCAGTGATTTAGTTGTAATTTCGATGTGACCCTGGGAGGCGAGCACAGTGCCACCATCTTGATTTCTACAGTAGACTTTTAGCTTGTGCTTCATGAATACCCGAAAGTAACAAGCCTTCGTATTGTGTGGTTTTATAAAAAGTCTCAAAGCAAATATCGTCTGACAAATTTTTTTGAAACTATTCTAAGACATTTGAAATTGCCAGTTTCACAGTCTGCAGGTTTTAAGTTGTCGTCACTGTAGTCTTTTCTTCTTCAGCCTCAGACTTGGTCTTGAACAATGAGACACGTAAGGAAGGAAACGTCTGTGAGCCATCGCGGAGCCTGGGATCTGCTGTCTGCGAGTGGATGCCAACTCCTGTTCCATACCAAGGATGGAAGCTCATTCTAGCCATCAGGTCTACGCATCGGAGCACCCTGTCACAGGGAGAGAGGAAGCATGGAATGCAGGCGAGTATCAGGGGTAGATGGTTCTTTGCAGGGCCGCCTCTGCCTCTACCCCTGCAGTGGGTCCCAGAGGTAAAAAGACGAGTAGCAAGCCTGTCCCTCCCACCTCAGACATCACAGTGGTTGCGTTTATTCTTTGACCACGTACTCCACGTGTTTCTTAAATGCCTGAAAGGCTCCAGGGAGTGACAAATGAGACAGCTGTGGCCCCTGGTTTCACTGAGTTCGTACTCTGGTGGAGACGACAGACAAAAGCAGGAAATTTTTAAGGCAGAATCTGGTGAGCTGGGCAGCAGGAGAGGCTCCCGGAGGTGATCCTGAAGCTGAGCCCTGTGGCATGGAGACAGCCAGCGCAGGGACGAAGGCAAGGTCTTCCCAGCACGTGCAAGAGGCTGGAACACAGTGGCAGGAGGAGAGGAGATGAGAGAAAAGCAAGGGCCACGTCACAGGGATTCCGGGAAGCCTGGAGGCGCCGATGGCTCGGTCCCTGGCGGAAGCAGAGTGAGGGGCCATGGAGAGTTCGGCAGCTGAGCTGCTCCGTCAATCGACGCTCCATCAACTCTTCCCAATTACAACCTCCTCGCCCTCCTGCTTGCCTCATCTGTTTAATCCAAGAATAGTGATCTAAAATACAACTTCTAACGCTCCCCTCTTCCAGGAAGCCCAGGCGTGCAGTCACGAAGCGAGAACATTTAGCCTCAGACACCACCACCCTAAAACAAATCCCCGTGTTCAGCTTGGCAAAGGCCCAGAAGCCACACGGAGCCTGCGAGGAGCAGGCGCACTCCCAGCACCATGAGAAGAGCAAGCCACAGGCCCCTGCACCGAAGACACGCTCCTTGTCGCTGCGATAAAGGCAGTGGCAGTCCCCGGCCCCTGGCGGCTGCGCAGGCAGTGCAGGCAGTCTCTCCCCGGGGTCTGTTCCCTTCCGTCCTGTCCCGGGCCCTACGGGGAGGGCTGCGCAGTCTCAGTGAGCAGAGGAGACCTCGCCTTCCATTTCAGTGTTGCCGACACTTTGCAAGGGGACCATCAGCACTCCCCACAGGTTCCCAACACAGGAGCCATCATCGAGAAAAGCTGATGGTTCTTAGCCACCTGCCTAAGGGAACGGTAATTATTAAGCAACAAAGCAAGATGGTTCCCGTCCAGATGGGAGGGGCCCGACATGGCTCCTGCTCGTGGATGACGGACGAGCACGAGGCCCCGGTACCTCAGCCTGGCGCTGGTGCTGCTGCTGGAGACGCACGGCACCGTGATCAGCACAGTCCTCACCTGTGGTTCCAGAGGTTTCTTACAACTTCCTTAATCTTCTGAAATGGAACCCACCTGCTACTTGGTAGGAAGACAGAAGAGCTCCTCCTCCCCTCCATCCCATCCCACCCCCAGGGCCTCGTCAGGTTGCCCTCAGGCGGACACAGCAGCTCTGCAGGCCAGACGGCTGCTCGGAGAAGATGCCCCCCGCAGCTCCACTGCAGCCACCGCTCCGGCCGGCTGCCCCAGCTGGTTGAGGTGTTCTCCCTGCCTGCAGATTTGGGTCTCATGTCAGAAGATGCTTTCTGGGGCTCCAGAAGTTATTTCCACCCAGTTCCTATTCCAACCACTGGGCCGAGAAAGCACGTCGCTTCTTGGCTTCTAGACAAGTCCAAGCTCTCACCCTCCTGCCTCCTCCTGCTCCCACCGCCCCACCCTCAGCTCTCCTCGCTGACCTCGTCCAATGCAGTCAATATGGGGACAACTTTCCAAATAGCTCCCTTCTTAGCTCCAAACCCAGGTACAACCAGAGCCTGCTTGGTATTACTGCTTAGCTCGGTGGTTCTCAGCCTTCTGGCCCTTTAAATACAGTTCCTCATGTTGTGACCCAACCATAAAATTATTTTCATTGCTACTTCATAACTGTAACATTGCTACTGTTATGAATCGTAATGCAAATATCTGATATGCAGGATGGTCTTAGGCGAACCCTGTGAAAGGGTTGTTCAACCGCCAAAGGGGTCGTGACCCACAGGTTGAGAACCGCTGGCTTAGCTGCTCATCGTATCTAATAAAAGAGAAACATGGTAATTAGCGTACGACCGCTACCCTTTTCATTGGCTAATCAGTGAGTATATGCAAATTAACTGTCAGCCAAGATGGCGGCCGGCAGCCAGGCAGCCAGGCAGCTGAGAACAGGATGCTTGGTTGCCCCAGCCGATAGAGGAACCCAAGGTTCCCGCCTGCAAGCTGCGGGGCTCTGAGCTCCCTGAAGCAAACAGCTCCCAAAAAGATAACAATGTTTTCAATTATAAGAAAGCCTAAAAGGTGGGCGGTTAATCTGCAATACTCAGGCTCCAAAGCTGTAGAAGCGGAAGCCAAAACAGCCCTGAAGCCGCAGAGCAAGAGAAGGCCCTCACCTGCCCGGGGATCAGCAGAGCCGGGGAGGGCTTCCGGCCCGGGATCAGCGGAGCTGAGAGGCCTCCGGGCCCGGGGATCAGCAGAGCCTGACGGAAGCCCTGCGTGTTTATGCACCCTGGGGGTTCAGAGGTCCTGTCCTAGGCAGAGGCCTATGGCGAAATTTTCGACTCTGAGAAGCAGCCTACGGGCTGGAAGGCGGCTCCTCTGACCTCAGTGCTGGAGAAGACCATTAAGTAGAAAACTAAAGAAACCGATTTTACATCATTTCCCAGGTGTAGAACAGTTGGCATGTAAGCCCCTGACCAGTGCCCAGCCTCTCCTCTGTCAGTCTATCTCACTCTTAGGTACCATGTTCTTTGTTCTGTCTTAACTGCAACTCATTTTTAAACTAGATTGCTTTTAAATTATTTATTTATTTATTTATTTATTTATTTTAAAAATATATTTTATTGATTTTTTACAGAGAGGAAGGGAGAGAGATAGAGAGTTAGAAACATCAATCAGCTGCCTCCTGCACATCTCCCACTGGGGATATGCCCGAAACCCAGGTACATGCCCTTTACCGGAATCGAACCTGGGACCTTTCAGTCCGCAGGCCGACGCTCTATCCACTGAGCCAAACCGGTTTTGGCAACTAGATTGCTTTTAAAAGAAGACTAAATAAAGTTTCCCTTAAGTTATTTAGGTGGTGCTGGGGCTGCTGGGGGCCTGATAGAAGACACAAACACGCAACGGGGGGCCTGTACCCAGCAGCCCCAAGGCCCGCCACCTTGGTGCTGGGGCTGCTGGGGGTATCAGAGACACAAACCCGCAGGCCCGGCACCCAGCAGACCCAAGGCCTTCGTGGCAGCACTAAGGAGCAGCAAGCCAAGCGGTAGGAAGCAGCAAGCAGGTGGGCAGTAACAAGGGAGGGGTCCCGGACTGCAAGAGGACACATGCTGGGCTAAGCGACCCCCCACCCATCCCCAGTGCACGAATTTCGTGCACCGGGCCTCTAGTCCTATCTAATAAAAGAGAAACATGGTAATTAGCCGTACCTCCGCTACCCTTCCCATTGGCTAATCAGGGCGATATGCAAATTAACTGCCAGCCAAGATGGCGGCCGGCAGCCAGGCAGCTTGAAGCGAACATGAGGCTTGCTTGCTTCAGTGACGGAGGAAGCCAACGTTCCCTGCCTGCCGCTGCCGGCCTCTGAGCTTGCAGTTTGAAACATTGTTACAAATATAGAAGCTAAACAAAACCCCAGAAACCTGCTTTCAGCCAGCCGGGATCTCAGAGCTGGAGTTGAAACAGTGTTTCGATTATAGAACCCAAACAAACCAGATACCTGCTTTCAGCAGCCGAGGCCTCAGAGCTGGAGCCAAGCCTCAGAGCTAAAGTTGGCCCAGAATAAAAGAAAAAAGAAAAAAGGAGCGGTTGGGAACTTCAGTCACCTGCCAGCCTGAAAACAGCCCTCAGCCCCTCACCCAGACTGGCCAGGCACCCCAGTGGGGACCCCCACCCTGAAGGGGGTGTGACCAGATGCAAACAGCCATCAGCCCCTCACCCAGGCTGGCCAGGCACCCAAGCGGGACCCCCACCCTGATCCAGGACACCCTTCAGGGCAAACCAGCCGGCCCCCACCCGTGCACCAGGCCTCTATCCTATATAGTAAAAGGGTAATATGCCTCCCAGCACCGGAATCAGCGGAGCCGTGAGCCCTCCCGGCACCGGGTTCAGCGTGACAGGGGACGGTGCCCCAACCCCCCAATTGGCCCTACCCTGAGCGTGACTAGGTGTGGCATCGCAACCTCCCGATCCGCCCTGCTCTGTGCATGACAGGGGGCGGTGCCCCAACTCCCCAATCAGCCCTGCTCTGAGCCCGACCAGGGCTGCACCTAGGGATTGGGCGTGCCCTTCTGCCACCTGGGA